GGGAGCAATTCGGGGTTCAGTGTCTTGCTCAGGGACATTTAGGCATGCGGGGAGACCAGGAGTCAAACCACCAACTTGCTGGTCAGGAGACGACTGCCCTACCTCGTGAGCCACAGCCACCCCAGTCAGAATGGTGGTTCATGGGTGACAATTAGTTGAAAACCTCTGCTATAGAAGATGTAAATCTTTAAAAAATCACATCACAAATATATAGTATAGTATTTTTTAAGCGTTTAATTTCTTAAAACGATTAGAAACTGTATTTTTACTAAAACAGAAATATAACTTCCAGGAGCCGGACAGGATTGCTGATATGTAACCTACAAAAAGTTGCGTTTGTCTCCATTTTTGTGACAGAATTTCAGACACCATGTTTCTGGCAGTGTCACAGGAAGACAGTCGCGGACAGATTTGGATGAGGGAAAACAGACTCTAATGAGCACAACAACCGACACATCTGAATTACTCAGCTGTGGGACATCTGGAGAGGCAACCAACAGGATCGATTCTTTGTTGGTTTTGGTCTTTTCATGGGATTTGTTAACAACAAAAACAATATAAAATATCACAACATGCCTTCCTGCCAATTACCAGCTGCAGCTTAGTTGTCGGCTAGTCTTTTGTACTTTATAGATCTGTGAGCATGCACAAACAGGGCTGTGGACTGACTCCAATCGATCCCTGCAGAAGATGGATATAAAGTGTCCGACCTTTTAAAAAAAATGTGCGCTTGATATTTTTCCTTTTGTAGCAGTGAAATAAATCACCAGGTGGTAGCAGCAGTGTGACTGACATTGGGGAGCAAGCGCAGCTTCTCGTTAAAGTTCAGCCCGACTGAAATCAGACATTCAGTGGTCCCACTGGGAAGAGAAGCCGAGTGGATGAAATGCTTATTGGAAAGTTTGTTTGAGGAGAAGAAATCCTCTTTTCCTTCTGGGACTTGCTCAAGGTTATTTTCTCAAATAAGTGTCTTTGTTGTTTCTTAAAGAGCAGAGTGGGTCAGGCTTGGTTTGGACTGCTGCACCAAGATGTTTTGTGAGAGCTGAGGCTAGCAGTGGGTAGGTCTTATATTATCCTGGTGCCATCCCTCCACGAAGGCTCCAATCAGCTCGACTATCCATTTAAAACACCTACTATTTGTTTGATTTATGTCCTGGTCAGTTAGCTGCTCCTGCTTGAGGCATCACAGGACTGATTCACTTTTTTCCAGGTCTGTATTAATTCTTACATGCCATATGTGCATCGAAAGAGAAATTGGCTGCTGTAATCATTTGTCCTGTTGTATTACCTTTGAAATGAACGCTTGACTGCAGGAAAAGATGGGGCACAAAATCTATAGCCCTTATTTGGTGAAGAGATGTGTTCACTGCAGCAGAGGGATATGGCCTGGTACATGCATTAAGGGCTGTGTTTACTGGAACTAAACAACAGCAATAGCTATAAACTGCCAGGACAAACACACCCACATGGCTTTTTTTGACTCAAGAAGACCCACAGTAGGACTGACTGACCTTTCTAATGCTTTGTGTTGTGAATCAGTGTGACTGAACCTTGGACTACCAACTGTTTTCCTGATTAATCAATAAATCTTTTTGCTTATAAAATGACAAAATAACCTAAAAATCCAAAGAACATATCAGAAGAATGCTAAACTCTTTACAGAGGAGCCATGATATGAAGACCTCACCTCATGACCAGAATGGTCAAGAGCAATGATTACAGAACAGCAATCACAGCAACTCTTTATACAGGACACACTACCAGTCAGAGGTATTAGTGTAGTGCAACAGCTGAACACGTGATATTCTCTCTGCAACTGAAATCAAATATTAGAAAAAATACTTCACTCTTAGCTGAACATGTTTAAATCAGAATCAGCTTTATTTATTAGCCAGGTGTGATGGACAGATGAGGAATTTGACTCAGGTACATCGGCTCTCAATATGCAAAACAGTAAACCAGCAAAAGGCTGTGTAATATAACAAAATAGCAGTATCAACAAACAGTGCAAACAATGCAGAAAAAGCAGTATAAACAGACACTAAACAATGCAGACAATAAAGGAATGTTCATTGAAATGAGATAAATAGGGATAAAACAGAGTACTTAAAACTAGAGACCTGTATGACTCTGTATAATCTGTACAGTGTATATACAGTGCCTTGCGAAAGTATTTGGCCCCCTTGAACTTTGCGACCTTTTGCCACATTTCAGGCTTCAAACATAAAGATATAAAACTGTAATTTTTTGTGAAGAATCAACAACAAGTGGGACACAATCATGAAGTAGAACGAAATTTATTGGATATTTCAAACTTTTTTAACAAATAAAAAAACTGAAAAATTGGGCGTGCAAAATTATTCAGCCCCTTTACTTTCAGTGCAGCAAACGCTCTCCAGAAGTTCAGTGAGGATCTCTGAATGATCCAATGTTGACCTAAATGACAAAGGATGATAAATAGAATCCACCTGTGTGTAATCAAGTCTCCATATAAATGCACCTGCACTGTGATAGTCTCAGAGGTCCGTTTAAAGCGCAGAAAGCATCATGAAGAACAAGGAACACACCAGGCAGGTCCGAGATACTGTTGTGGAGAAGTTTAAAGCCGGATTTGGATACAAAAAAATTTCCCAAGCTTTAAACATCCCAAGGAGCACTGTGCAAGCAATAATATTGAAATGGAATGCTCTGGTCAGATGAAACCTAAATCGAACTTTTTGGCAACAATGCAAAACGTTATGTTTGGCGTAAAAGCAACACAGCTCATCACCCTGAACACACGATCCCCACTGTCAAACATGGTGGTGGCAGCATCATGGTTTGGGCCTGCTTTTCTTCAGCAGGGACAGGGAAGATGGTTCAAATTGATGGGAAGATGGATGGAGCCAAATACAGGACTATTCTGGAAGGAAACCTGATGGAGTCTGCAAAAGACCTGAGACTGGGACGGAGATTTGTCTTCCAACAAGACAATGATTCAAAACATAAAGCAAAATCTACAATGGAATGGTTCACAAATACACATATCCAGGTGTTAGAATGGCCAAGTCAAAGTCCAGACCTGAATCCAATCGAGAATCTGTGGGAAGAACTGAAAACTGCTGTTCACAAACGCTCTCTATCCAACCTCACTGAGCTCGAGCTGTTTTGCAAGGCGGAATGGGCAAAAATTTCAGTCTCTTGATGTGCAAAACTGATAGAGACATACCCCAAGTGACTTACAGCTGTAATCGCAGCAAAAGGTGGCGCTACAAAGTATTAACTTAAGGGGGCTGAATAATTTTGCACGCCCAATTTTTCAGTTTTTTATTTGTTAAAAAAGTTTGAAATATCCAATAAATTTCGTTCCACTTCATGATTGTGTCCCACTTGTTGTTGATTCTTCACAAAAAAATTACAGTTTTATATCTTTATGTTTGAAGCCTGAAATGTGGCAAAAGGTCGCAAAGTTCAAGGGGGCCGAATACTTTCGCAAGGCACTGTACTGTATACACAGGTGTTGCACTGAGGGTTATTGTCTAATCATACTGTCCTGGGTTAACTATTCATCAGAGGGACTGCCTGGGGGAAGAAACTGTCCCTGTGCCTGGTTGTCTTGGCGCACAGTGACCTGTAACACCGTCCAGAGGGGAGGAGTTCAAACAGATTGTGTCCAGGGTGTGAGGGGTCTGCAGTGATCCTCTCTGCCCTCCTTTTGACCCGTGAGGTGTATAGGTCCTCCATGGAGGGCAGGCTCACACCAATGATCTTTTCTGCAGTCCTGACTGTCCGCTGAAGTCTGTACTTGTCCTGTTTGGTTGCTGAGCCATACCAGACAGTGATGGAGGTACAGAGAACAGAGTCAATGATTCCTCTGTAGAACTGTACCAGCAGCTCCTGGGGAGGGTCGAACTTTCTGAGCTGGCGCAGGAAGTACATCCTTAAGCAGGCGTCTTAGCAGGTCTACATCAGGGCGGAAAAAAAAACACATTGTTTGCACCTACTCTTTATAGACAGTAATAAAACTGCAAACGCTACAGAATAGATACCACAGAGACAAGAAGACATCGATATCTTAAAAAGACAGAAAACAACTATAGAGAGATGCAAAATGATCACAGCTCTGTCATGTTTGTAGGGGTGGGATGTGTCTCATGACCTGTTCATGGTTGTATCATCTGTATTATCATTTCACATTAGAACAATTCAAATTGTTCATTTGGCATCTACTTATTTCACTGAACAAACATTTTAACTAATAATAATGTACCATTTAATATTGCCAAGAACCAAAACTTGAACACTGCTGCCATTTCTCACAGCTCTAAAACATAAGAAGATTTTCTTATTTTCTTCTAAGTCTTTTCTCGTGTCCAGAAAATAGTTTATTCATCCTGCGCTTCTTCTCTCCCTGTAGAAAAAAGGCAAGATGCACTACCAGATAGCTGTGATCATCAACTTCCTGGGTCACTGTATCTCCATGCTGGCTCTGCTCATTGCCTTCTTCCTCTTCTTGTGTTTGAGGTGAGTGTCGGTCCCTCTGATATTCCTGAAGACATCGCTGATGTGACACAAACATCAATGTGCTCAAGCTCAATTGTCCAAAGTGCCTCTTACTCTTGTTCAGAAACCGTTTGGTCATGGGATTAAACGTTTGTCTCCATCCTGCAGATGTAAAGTGGTTTAGACATCCACAAAAACTAGGGCGTGTCTCCTCACCAGTGGGAATAAGAGACCCAGTGCAGAAAGCTGCAAAAGCCAAAACAGTCTTGCGGAGACCTGCAGGGACACCCAGTGGAGACGGAGTTGGCTTTTCTGACTAACTGAAACAAACCAAGCGTTAACGAGAGAAAGGTCCAGGCTGTTATCGATCCCCAGGACACCCCTAGGGAGTGAGAAAAGCATGAAAGGGCACAGAGAGATGTAATAAATAGAAGCTCTACAGGACGCGTTTATGCACAATCTGTGCTTGTGGGCCACAGCGGCTTAGACCAAGAAGGAGGACAAGTGTTGGTCAGCTAAAAACGGCATTAGGTTAGTTGAGGAGTTTGGCATTTATTACTCACCTTCCTCACTTTCTAATGAGATTGTGAGCCATTTAAAGGGAGGCTGTCACTGCCGGTGTGATGGAGAGAAAGGCTGACACTTTGGTGCAACTGGAAAGACAAAAGAAATCACAGCGGAGAAAAGAGGTCTTATTAAAAACTGTAAAACAGCAGATACAGTAAGTGTCTTTAGCTTAGTTTTAAGGTTTTCTTTTTAGTTTCTCCACATAGAAACACAGGACTCTCCTGGTGGCTCTAAATAAAACTACAGCCTTATTCCATCTTTGCAACGGAGGGATTCATCCAAAACTGACAGAGTCTGATGCTTAATATTTTATTGGCTTTGGAAATGCAACTTAATCTTTTTCTCGGCATTAGTCGTGCATGCAATGGCATCTTAAACTAAGTGTTTGGCCATTTCTCATTGAAATGCACCATGGGAGTTGCGGTCAATAGATGTCTTCAATGCATACAAACAAATCTTTAATACTGACCCCTCAAGCTGAACTGAGTCTAATAAATCATCAGTGCCACTGACTGAAGCTCAGCTGTGATACATGGGGCAACGTTTCCCAGTTTAAGGCTTACAACACCGCAATGCCATAATTCTGTTGGAAATATAAGGTAGCCGAGCTAGTAAACAGTGCCCATAGAGTTTAGATTAGTAGTGAAACAAATCATTCAAACCAAAAATAAAATTACCAAACTTTATTTTGAGCAATTACAAATCTGACCAAAATCACTCAAACCAGCAGAGATACTCATAACTTTCCACCTTGTCCTCTCATGCAGAAATTCAGCCAGGAGTGTTTCACACCTGTTCGAGTCTCGAGGGGCACCAACTCAAGCACGGGATGCACTTTCTGAACTCTGGAGGTTCAGAGTACCTCCTCTCTTTGCAGCTCCCTGTGCTGTCATGGTGCGTTCTCGGAAGGAATTTGATTGAATCGTTTATGGATCTGAAAGTGGCCATGATGACTTATGAAGTATGAAGGGAATTAAAAGTAATTTGAGATGTAAATAACTCCTCACCTTCACCCTCCCTTCTTTCACCCGTGTTGTTGGATCAGGACGAGCGTAATAAATTAGACACAGCCG